GAACCAGCAAGTAATAGCTGCGACTTATCACGGTTAATTTTTGCACCTGATGCGGAACAATAAACATTAATAGTTTCAATGGCTTCTTTAATTGAATCAAAGTTTGATAAAGTTAACGTCACATCATCAGCATGTTGAAAAAGCAGTGACTTGTGGTCACATCCAGGGATGGGAATACCCATGATATTCGGATTCGATTTTATGAGTAAATTCAATGGCTCTGCTGTGAGCACGTAAAGAAGGGCAGAGATCGGACACCCCTGACGCACAGAACGACTAATATTAAACGATTTCGAGATGAAACCGTTAATTTTGATACTGCTTCTAATACCAAAATACAAGATTTTCAAATTCGAAATAAAAGCATCACCAAAACCAAATTTAGCTAAAAGCGAAAACATGTATTGATGTGAGACCCTGTCAAAAGCTTTTTCAGCATCTACGCTTAATAAGAAACAAGGGAGATTATCATGTTCAACATACTCAATAAGTTCTTTAACATTTAGAACATTTACAGAAATGTCCCGACCAGGAATACAGCATGTTTGATCAGGCGAAATCACTGCTTCGAGGACTGTTTTTAAACGTAATGCCAATGAACGGGCAAAGATTTTATAATCTACATTTAGCAAACTAATTGGGCGCCAATTTTTTGAATCACACTTATCTCCCCTGTTTTTGTAAAACAATGAAATTATGCCCCTTTTCATAGTTCTGCTTAGTTCCCCACATTTTTGAATTTCATTGATCACGTGGAAATATACTGGACCTAACTCAGGCCAAAAATGAACAAAGAATTCAACTGTTAAACCGTCAACACCTGGCGATTTACGACGTTTCATGCCATTTAGAGCGGAAAATAATTCCTTTTGGGAAATAATAGCTTCACAATGTTCAGCGCTAGCTTCACTTATCTGCTTACTGATGAGATCAAAAATAACATCCTGTTTGTCCTCAGACACTGGCTCATAAGCATAAAGTTTGGAATAAAAATTAACAGCTTCTTGCAGAATGTCATCCGAAGAAGATAGCAAAGTTCCAGATGCAGATCGTAACGATCGAATCACATTGGACTCTTGTTTCCGCTTTTCTAAATTAAGAAAGTAATGCGAACACTTATCGGATTCAAGTGAA